GTTCCTGCCTCCACTACTTCATTTGCTAGGCTATTCCACTTGCTGATAACTCTATGACTGAAGAAATACTTCCTAACGTCCCTGTGACTCGTCTGAGTCTTCAGCTTCCAGTTGTGACCCCTTGTCCCTGTGTCCCCTCTCTGGAACATCCTATCTCTGTCCACCTTGTCTATTCCCCGCAGTATCTTGTATGTCGTTATCATGTCTCCCCTGACCCTTCTGTCCTCCAGTGTCGTCAGTCCGATTTCCCTTAACCTTTTCTCGTACGACATTCCCTTGAGCTCTGGGACTAGCCTTGTTGCAAACCTTTGTACTTTCTCTAACTTCTTGACGTGCTTGACCAGGTGTGGGTTCCAGACTGGTGCTGCATACTCCAGTATGGGCCTAAACATACACAGTGTACAGTGTCTTGAACGATTCCTTATTAAGGTATCGGAACGCTATTCTCAGGTTTGCCAGGCGCCCGTATGCTGCAGCGGTTATTTGGTTGATGTGTGCCTCCGGTGATGTGCTCGGTGTTATGGTCACCCCAAGGTCTTTCTCCCTGAGTGAGGTCTGTAGTCTTTGTCCACCTAGCCTATATTCTGTCTGCGGTCTTCTTTGCCCCTCCCCAATCTTCATGACTTTGCATTTGGCTGGATTGAATTCGAGAAGCCAGTTACTGGACCACATGTCCAGCCTCTCCAGGTCTCTTTGCAGTCCTGCCTCATCCTCGTCCGATTTAATTCTTCTCATCAACTTCACGTCATCTGCGAACAGGGACACTTCAGAGTCTATTCCTTCCATCATGTCGTTCACATATATCAAAAATAGCACTGGTCCTAGAACTGACCCCTGTGGGACCCCGCTCGTAACAGGCGCCCACTGTGATACCTCTTCACGTACCATGACTCGTTGCTGCCTCCCTGTCAGGTATTCCCTTATCCATTGCAGTGCCCTTCCTTTTACTTGTGCCTGATCCTCCAGCTTCTGCACTAATCTCTTGTGGGGAACTGTGTCAAAGGCCTTCCTGCAGTCTAGGAAAACGCAATCTACCCAACCCTCTCTCTCGTGTCTTACTTCTGTTACCTTGTCATAAAACTCCAGGAGGTTTGTGATACAAGATTTGCCTTCCATGAACCCATGCTGGTTTTCATTTATAATCTTGTTCCTTTCCAGGTGTTGTGTGTGAGTGTGTGTGTGTGTGTGAGTGTGAGTGTGTGTGAGTGTGTGAGTGTGAGTGTGTGAGTGTGTGTGAGCACTCACCTATTTGTACTCACCTATTTGTGGTTGCAGGGGTCGAGTCCTAGCTCCTGGCCCCGCCTCTTCACCGGTTGCTACTAGACCCTCTCTCTCCCCGCTCCATGAGCTTTATCAAACCTCGTCTTAAAACTGTGTATGGTTCCTGCCTCCACTACGTCATTTTCTAGGCTATTCCACTGCCTTACAACTCTATGACTGAAGAAATACTTCCTACTATCTCTCTGACTCATTTGTGTCTTCAACTTCCAATTGTGGCCTCTTGTTTCTGTGTCCCCTCCCTGGAACATCCTGTCCTTGTCCACCTCGTCTATTCCACGCAGTATTTTATATGTCGTTATCATGTCTCCCCTGACCCTCCTGTCCTCCAGTGTCGTCAGGCCGATTTCCCTTAATCTTTCTTCATAGGACATTCCCCTTAGCTCTGGAACTAACCTTGTTGCAAACCTTTGTACTTTCTCTAGTTTCTTGACGTGCTTTATCAAGTGCGGGTTCCAAACAGGTGCTGCATACTCCAGTATGGGCCTGACATACACGGTGTACAGTGTCTTGAATGATTCCTTACTAAGGTGTCGGAATGCTGTTCTCAGGTTTGCCAGGCGCCCATATGCTGCAGCAGTTATCTGATTGATGTGTGCTTCCGGAGACATGCTCGGTGTTATACTCACCCCAAGATCTTTCTCCTTGAGTGAGGTTTGCAGTCTTTGGCCACCTAGCCTATACTCTGTCTGTGGTCTTCTGTGCCCTTCCCCTATCTTCATGACTTTGCATTTGGCAGGATTAAATTCGAGAAGCCATTTGCTGGACCAGGTGTCCAGTCTGTCCAGGTCTCTTTGAAGTCCTGCCTGGTCCTCATCAGATTTAATTCTCCTCATTAACTTCACATCATCTGCAAACAGGGACACTTCTGAGTCTAACCCTTCCGTCATGTCGTTCACATATACCAAAAATAGCACTGGTCCTAGGACCGACCCCTGTGGGACCCCGCTCGTCACAGGTGCCCACTGTGATACATCATTACGTACCATGACTCGTTGTTGCCTCCCTGTCAGGTATTCTCTGATCCATTGCAGTGCCCTTCCTGTTATATGCGCCTGATGCTCTAGCTTCTGCACTAATCTCTTGTGAGTGTGTGTGAGTGTGTGTGAGTGTGTGTGTGTGTGTGTGTGTGTGTGTGTGTGTGTGTGTGTGTGTGTGTGTGTGTGTGTTGAGTGTGTGTGTGTGTGAGGTGTGTGTGAGTGTGTGTGGTGTGTGTGTGTGTGTGTGTGTGTGTGTGTGAGTGTGTGTGAGTGTGTGAGTGTGAGTGTGTGAGTGTGTGTGTGTGTGTGTGAGTGAGTGTGAGTGTGTGTGAGTGTGTGTGAGTGTGTGTGAGTGTGTGTGAGCGTGTGTGAGTGTGTGTGAGTGTGTGTGAGTGTGTGTGTGTGTGAGTGTGTGTGTGTGTGTGTGTGTGAGTGAGTGTGAGTGTGTGTGAGTGTGTGTGAGTGTGTGTGAGTGTGTGTGAGCGTGTGTGAGTGTGTGTGAGTGTGTGTGAGTGTGTGTGTGTGTGTGTGTGTGTGTGTGTACTCACCTCACCTAGTTGAGGTTGCGGGGGTCGAGTCCGAGCTCCTGGCCCCGCCTCTTCACTGATCGCTACTAGGTCACTCTCCCTGAGCCGTGAGCTTTATCATACCTCTGCTTAAAGTTATGTATGGATCCTGCCTCCACTACATCACTTCCCAAACTATTCCACTTACTGACTACTCTGTGGCTGAAGAAATACATCCTAACATCCCTGTGATTCATCTGTGTCTTCAGCTTCCAACTGTGTCCCCTTGTTACTGTCTCCAATCTCTGGAACATCCTGTCTTTGTCCACCTTGTCAATTCCTCTCAGTATTTTGTATGTCGTTATCATGTCCCCCCTATCTCTCCTGTCCTCCAGTGTCGTCAGGTTGATTTCCCTTAACCTCTCCTCGTAGGACATACCTCTTAGCTCTGGGACTAGTCTTGTTGCAAACCTTTGCACTTTCTCTAGTTTCTTCACGTGCTTGGCTAGGTGTGGGTTCCAAACTGGTGCCGCATACTCCAATATGGGCCTAACATACACGGTGTACAGGGTCCTGAATGATTCCTTATTAAGATGTCGGAATGCTGTTCTGAGGTTTGCTAGGCGCCCATATGCTGCAGCAGTTATTTGGTTGATGTGCGCTTCAGGAGATGTGCCTGGTGTTATACTCACCCCAAGATCTTTTTCCTTGAGTGAGGTTTGTAGTCTCTGACCCCCTAGACTGTACTCCGTCTGCGGCCTTCTTTGCCCTTCCCCAATCTTCATGACTTTGCACTTGGTGGGATTGAACTCCAGGAGCCAATTGCTGGACCAGGTCTGCAGCCTGTCCAGATCCCTTTGTAGTTCTGCCTGGTCTTCGATCGAGTGTATTCTTCTCATCAACTTCACGTCATCTGCAAACAGGGACACCTCCGAGTCTATTCCTTCCGTCATGTCGTTCACAAATACCAGAAACAGCACTGGTCCTAGGACTGACCCCTGCGGGACCCCGCTGGTCACAGGTGCCCACTCTGACACCTCGCCACGTACCATGACTCGCTGCTGTCTTCCTGACAAGTATTCCCTGATCCATTGTAGTGCCTTCCCTGTTATCCCTGCTTGGTCCTCCAGTTTTTGCACCAATCTCTTGTGTGGAACTGTGTCAAACGCCTTCTTGCAGTCCAAGAAAATGCAATCCACCCACCCCTCTCTCTCTTGTCTTACTGCTGTCACCATGTCATAGAACTCCAGTAGGTTTGTGACACAGGATTTCCCGTCCCTGAAACCATGTTGGCTGCTGTTGATGAGATCATTCCTTTCTAGGTGTTCCACCACTCTTCTCCTGATAATCTTCTCCATGATTTTGCATACTATACATGTCAGTGACACTGGTCTGTAGTTTAATGCTTCATGTCTGTCTCCTTTTTTAAAGATTGGGACTACATTTGCTGTCTTCCATGCCTCAGGCAATCTCCCTGTTTCGATAGATGTATTGAATATTGTTGTTAGGGGTACACATAGCGCCTCTGCTCCCTCTCTCAATACCCATGGGGAGATTTTATCTGGCCCCATTGCCTTTGAGGTATCTAGCTCACTCAAAAGCCTCTTCACTTCTTCCTCGGTTGTGTGCACTGTGTCCAGCACTTGGTGGTGTGCCCCACCTCTCCGTCTTTCTGGAGTCCCTTCTGTCTCCTCTGTGAACACTTCTTTGAATCTCTTGTTGAGTTCTTCACATACTTCACGGTCATTTCTTGTTGTCTCCTCCTTCCTTCCTTAGCCTGATTACCTGGTCCTTGACTGTTGTTTTCCTCCTGATGTGGCTGTACAACAGTTTCGGGTCAGATTTGACTTTCGCTGCTATGTCATTTTCATATTGTCTTTGGGCCTCCCTTCTTATCTGTGCATATTGTGTGTGTGTATGTGTGTGTGTGTGTGTGTGTGTGTGTGTGTGGTGTGTGTGTGTGTTGTGTGTGTGTGTGTGTGTGTGAGTGTGTGTGTGGTGTGTGTGAGTGTGTGTGAGTGTGTGTGTGAGTGTGTGTGTGTGTGTGGTGTGTGTGTGTGTGTGAGTGTGTGTTGAGTGTGTGAGGTGTGAGTGTGTGAGTGTGTGTGTGTGTGTGTGAGTGAGTGTGAGTGTGTGTGAGTGTGTGTGAGTGTGAGTGTGTGTGTGTGTGTGTGTGTGTGTGTGTGTGTGTGTGTGTGTGTGTGTGTGTGTGTACTCACCTAGTTGAGGTTGCGGGGGTCGAGTCCGAGCTACTGGCTGTGTGTGTGTGTGTACATAATGTACACACACACACACACACACACACACACACACACACACTATAGTATGTATTATATACGTACACAATGCTAACCCACATTGCATCAGACATTAAGTCTGTTCTGCACTTATGTCTAATTTGGACAACCAAGATTAACTATTACTCAAGGATCAATATCCATATTTACATTGATTTGTTCATATGGTGAAGGTGACTACTACTCCCACTAATAATGAACATTACAGAAAGTATACCAAGTGATGTTTAAGCATGTTTCACCTTAGCAACTGCAAATTTAAATACAGTAGGTGGTATGTACAGAGGTACAGCTGCAGTAATAGTTTATTTTAAAGGCATAATACAGCAATAAAATGTTCAAATATCTTCTGAACATGTTTTTTTTATGTACTGCCATAAATTCTGATTACCACAGAATAATAACTTAAACAAGTCACACACTAAGGAAGCTACTGTGTGGATTATCACTGATGCAAGGCAGAATAAAGCACAACCTAATGATAGCTTATCATTCTTGCAACCCCTTGTGGAAAGTTGACAGGTCTGGCAGGCAGGCAGAATGGGCGGAAGAGGTGGACGATGATTTGGTAACCATAAGGTGAATAGGTGAGTAGCTCCTAGCAAGCACACCCACCATCTGATGTCCTCCCGATTTCCGTTGTATTTTCGGAGTCTCGGAGTAAGACCTCTGTCACTAAACACCATTAAGGAAATATAGGCACAGGCAAAACAGAACAAAAAGGGTCAAGTGGAGTTTTAGTTGCAAGAAAACTGACATGTTATTGCAGTGCTACAAAAATTTAAGTTAAATTTCGTTGATTAAGATGGAATTCCTCGTGTTAAGGAAAAAAAGGGGGATTACATTAGTAATTTAAGTATTTAGCAATGTTCCTTTTGGAAATTATTAAAATTTTAATACTGAAGCATCAGTAGAATCAGCCTTTGAAAATCAACTGCTTAAAAGCTTTGATTTTTTCCTCTCAACTCCACTTGCATTGCTAATCACAACACTCAGCAAACTTAATACTTAGGCATAGTAATACATAAAAAAATACTGTTCAGCATGCTACAAGTGCCTCATGCCATATATACTAAAACATTCGCAACTAAGCTATACAAATACAAGTATTTAATCAATGAACACCCAGGAAATTGACTGCCAGTAAAAATTTGAATAACTAATACACCTGAATTAGGCATATTGCATTTTGTAAGCTATTTGTTACATGAATTTTTAACTGCCACACACTCCACATGTCCACAAAATTAATCAGTGATAAATATCAATACTGATATCTAACATGCAATACAATACACACATACAGAGAACAAAGACCTGTGCAGAAACAGCAACACAAACTACTTGGTGGTCATGGTACATGCTCAACTTTATTATTAAAACCTACTTTAATGTGCAGAATGAATATTCCTCTTCAACCGTGTTCTAACGTGTTCACAATTTCTTACCTCAGTACGTCTCTACTTTGTGACAAAACTAATGTTAGTAAGACCATGAAGACAAGATTTCTATAAAAAAAAAAAGTCTTGAAATCCAGAAACAAGGCTATGCCATATAACCAGAAATGGACATATGTGGACAATATGAATCTTTAAGGCAAAAAAATTTCGTAAGTGACTGATAAATAATAATAAACCTTAAACAACTCTTTAATATCAAATATCTATGTTGCAATGAGAATAAGTAAACTCAATACAGTACTGTAGATCTACCTGCAAGCATTGTTAAGATTACATTAAAACCCTCAGCCATCTGGGAATCGCTTCTACAATAATGTTAAGAAAACTGAATTAACCCAGCCCAAATAGAAATCATGCATATATGACAGGATAACAATCTTCTACACAGCCAGTAAACCATTCTTTGCATGGCTCTTTGAACATAGGTTTGACTACCAATTCATTCAGCCTTAAAATTGAAGCACCTGTGGGGCTGATGTTTCATGCAGCCACCCCAAGGGAAAAATTTCCAAAGGGAACAAGACAGTATAAATATAAACGTTTCAAAATTACCAGCTTAAATATTAAAATCAGTCAGTGTCGAATTATGTTTTCTTTATAATTAAGATCTCTAGGCTCAATGCAAATGAAATATTTTCGAGGAAAGATTTTCTATTGATGCTAAGCTACTGGTTAATTCAATTACATACTTCATTTCAATCAGATATAAGACCATGAGAAAGAAGGAACACTGCAGCAGGCCTACTGGCCCATGCGAGGCAGATTCATTTCTCCCATGAGCTCACCTCCCTCATAAGCAGTGAGCAATAAATTTGGGCCTAGATATGAGAAAATGGGTCGGTGTGGTAAGTATGCACCATAAAAAAAAATCCTCCACCATGCAGTGCATAATGGGGGGAAAAACTGCAAGTGTGTTTCTGGTTTGAAATAGCAAGTTTGCAGTGTCTTTTCCAATGGTTTACAAGGTTGTATTCTCGGTTTCTTGGTATCATTTCACAGAATGGAAGATATATTACAGAAATAGATGATTATGATTGGTTTCAGGACTGGGAGGAACTAGAAACTGAGCTCAAAGCAGCCGAAATATTCAATTTTTACCAAAATTAAATTCAATTTAAAATGCATTCACAAATGCACTGACATTATTTATACTATTATTACAATAATGCATAACAGTAAGTTATGGAATTCATGTGTAAAGCCTGTGAATGTAACTAATGAAGTGAAAATGGTATTTTAGTGCCAGGAAGGCTTGCACTGTTTATTCCAGACCCTATTTTGAAATTTGTGCAAAACTGGCCAAATTACCAATATCTAATCACTTTACTGGGTAAAAATAATTGATTGGGCAGTTTGTGCTCTTTTTTATTAAATGGAAGCCATAGTAGTGAAACAGCTAATAATTTGGTTGACTTGAACAATGGAATTGGCTTAAAATAGGACTAAGTGGGCAAAATCTCTGATGCTTAAATATCACCGACACGGCAAAAATTTGCAAAAAGCGTAATTTCACAAGTTTTCCATCAAACTTTGTACTTTTTGTTTTACCTTCATATTTTATTATTTTTTCTTATCACACCGGCCGATTCCCACCAAGGCAGGGTGGCCCGAAAAAGGAAAACTTTCACCATCATTCACTCCATCACTGTCTTGCCAGAAGGGTGCTTTACACTACAGTTTTTAAACTGCAACATTAACACCCCTCCTTCAGAGTGCAGGCACTGTACTTCCCATCTCCAGGACTCAAGTCCTGCCTGCCGGTTTCCCTGAACCCCTTCATAAATGTTACTTTGCTCACACTCCAACAGCACGTCAAGTATAAAAAACCATTTGTCTCCATTCACTCCTATCAAACACGCTCATGCATGCCTGCTGGAAGTCCAAGCCCCTCGCACACAAAACCTCCTTTACCCCCTCCCTCCAACCTTTCCTAGGCCGACCCCTACCCCGCCTTCCTTCCACTACAGACTGACACACTCTTGAAGTCACACTGTTTCGCTCCATTCTCTCTACATGTCCGAACCACCTCAACAACCCTTCTGGACAACAGTTTTGGTAATCCTGCACCTCCTCCTAACTTCCAAACTACGAATTCTCTGCATTATATTCACACCACACATTGCCCTCAGACATGACATCTCCACTGCCTCCAGCCTTCTCCTCGCTGCAACATTCATCACCCATGCTTCACACCCATATAAGAGCGTTGGTAAAACGATACTCTCATACATTCCACTCTTTGCCTCCAAGGACAAAGTTCTTTGTCTCCACAGACTCCTAAGTGCACCACTCACCCTTTTCCCCTTATCAATTCTATGATTCACATCATCTTTCATAGACCCATCCGCTGACACGTCCACTCCCAAATATCTGAATACATTCACCTCCTCCATACTCTCTCCCTCCAATCTGATATCCAATCTTTCATCACCTAATCTTTTTGTTATCCTCATAACCTTACTCTTTCCTGTATTCACTTTCAATTTTCTTCTTTTACATACCCTACCAAATTCATCCACCAATCTCTGCAACTTCTCTTCAGAATCTCCCAAGAGCACAGTGTCATCAGCAAAGAGCAACTGTGACAACTCCCACTTTATGTGTGATTCTTTATCTTTTAACTCCACGCCTCTTGCCAAGACCCTCGCATTTACTTCTCTTACAACCCCATCTATAAATATATTAAACCACGGTGACATCACACATCCTTGTCCAAGGCCTACTTTTACTGGGAAATAATTTCCCTCTTTCCTATGTACTCTAACTTGAGCCTCGCTATCCTCGTAAAAACTCTTCACTGCTTTCAGTAACCTACCTCCTACACCATACACCTGCAACATCTGCCACATTGCCCCCCTATCCACCCTGTCATACGCCTTTTCCAAATCCATAAATGCCACAAAGACCTCTTTAGCCTTATCTAAATACTGTTCACTTATATGTTTCACTGTAAATACCTGGTCCACACACCCCCTACCTTTCCTAAAGCCTCCTTGTTCATCTGCTATCCCATTCTCCGTCTTACTCTTAATTCTTTCAATAATAACTCTACCATACACTTTACCAGGTATACTCAACAGACTTATCCCCCTATAATTTTTGCACTCTCTTTTGTCCCCTTTGCCTTTATACAAAGGAACTATGCATGCTCTCTGCCAATCCCTAGGTACCTTACCCTCTTCCATACATTTATTAAATAATTGCACCAACCACTCCAAAACTATATCCCCACCTGCTTTTAACATTTCTATCTTTATCCCATCAATCCCGGCTCCCTTACCCCCTTTCATTTTACCTACTGCCTCACGAACTTCCCCCACACTCACAACTGGCTCTTCCTCACTCCTACAAGATGTTATTCCTCCTTGCCCTATACACGAAATCACAGCTTCCCTATCTTCATTAACATTTAACAATTCCTCAAAATATTCCCTCCATCTTCCCAATACCTCTAACTCTCCATTTAATAACTCTCCTCTCCTATTTTTAACTGACAAATCCAATTTTTTCTCTAGGCTTCCTTAACTTGTTAATCTCACTCCAAAACTTTTTCTTATTTTCAACAAAATTTGTTGATAACATCTCACCCACTCTCTCATTTGCTCTCTTTTTACATTGCTTCACCACTCTCTTAACCTCTCTCTTTCTCCATATACTCTTCCCTCCTTGCATCACTTCTACTTTGTAAAAACTTCTCATATGCTAACTTTTTCTCCCTTACTACTCTCTTTACATCATCATTCCACCAATCGCTCCTCTTCCCTCCCGCACCCACTTTCCTGTAACCACAAACTTCTGCTGAACACTAACACTACATTTTTAAACCTACCCCATACCTCTTCGACCCCATTGCCTAGGCTCTCATTAGCCCATCTATCCTCCAATAGCTGTTTATATCTTACCCTAACTGCCTCCTCTTTTAGTTTATAAACCTTCACCTCTCTCTTCCCTGATGCTTCTATTCTCCTTGTATCCCATCTACCTTTTACTCTCAGTGTAGCTACAACTAGAAAGTGATCTGATGTATCTGTGGTCCCTCTATAAACATGTACATCCTGAAGTCGACTCAACAGTCTTTTATCTATCAATACATAATCCAACAAACTACTGTCATTTCGCCCTACATCATATCTTGTATACTTATTTATCCTCTTTTTCTTAAAATATGTATTACCTATAACTAAACCCCTTTCTATACAAAGTTCAATCAAAGGGCTCCCATTATCATTTACACCTGGCACCCTAAACTTGCCTACCACACCCTCTCTAAAAGTTTCTCCTACTTTAGCATTCAGGTCCCCTACCACAATTACTCTCTCACTTGGTTCAAAGGCTCCTATACATTCACTTAACATCTCCCAAAATCTCTCTCTCTCTCCTCTGCATTCTTCTCTTCTCCAGGTGCATACACACTTATGACGACCCACTTTTCGCATCCAACCTTCACTTTAATCCACATAATTCTTGAATTTACACATCATATTCTCATTTCTCCTTCCATAACTGATCCTTCAACATTACTGCTACCCCTTCCTTTGCTCTAACTCTCTTAGATACTCCAGATTTAATCCCATTTATTTCCCCCCACCGAAACTCCCCTACCCCCTTCAGCTTTGTTTCACTTAGGGCCAGGACATCCAACTTCTTTTCATTCATAACATCAGCAATCATCTGTTTCTTGTCATCCACGCACATTCAAGCATCCCAGTTTTATAAAGTTTTTCTTCTTCTCTGCCATTTCATAAGGAATTTTTTTTAAATTCTTGGACCCTGTAGACACTTCAGATTGGGGGTCTGAACATTAAGGGGCTAAACCTATTCTCTTAATTCATACGCAACTGCTCTTAATTCCTCTTGGCACCCCACTAATGATAATACCCCATAAGGACACTGTTCTTTCATAGTTTGCCTTTAATGCTACAAATGTTTTGGTTTCCACATTAATCTTCTGTAAGAAACTGTCTTAGATTTTGGTTTTCATAGCTTTAAATGATCATATTTACCAAAGCTGCATTAAAACTATGTAAAGTGGAACCTTAGTTATCGAATGGACTAGTTGTCGAACAAGTCAGTTTTTGAATGTGGTTTTCATACATGGTCTTAGTTATCGACTAACAATGCTAGGATCATGTGATCACCAGACAGAGTCCACAATGCGAGTCTCAGTCAGTATAGTGACTAACGCACATGCTGTAAACATCTCTTGAGATCTTGTTGTGCATCTTGTGAAGGTAATGAAACCAAAACTATGAAATTAATGGAAAACTTATAGAATTACGCTATCGCAAAGTTAGTGGTCTCGGCGATTTTGCCCACTCTGAGCCCTATTTTGGGCCAATTCCATTGTTCCAGTTGACCAAACTCATAGCTATTTCACTAGAACTCCTTTTATTCTATCGACTGAGTACAAGAAACTGCCCATTTACCTATTTCAACTACCTAGTAAAATGGTGTGTGTGCTGTATAATTTTATACATTGTTTTATGCAGTAGTTAGTACATTATTATTAAAAAATTATGCAGTCATTTTTGATCTAGAACAGATTAATTATATTTACATTATTCTTTATGGGAAAAATTGGTTTGGTTGTTGAACCTACATCTGGAAAGAATTAAGCTCGACAATCAAGGTTCCACTGTACTGTGCCAACACTATGTGGAGTGTGTTTTGTTGCTCCAAAACTCTTTGGGAAACTGGTACAATCTGCCCCATATTAACACTTTATGAACATATATCTGTTTAGCTGCTGAATTAAGTCAGTTTCAATAGATACATCAATAAAGAATCAATGGACAAATACTTATCCTGGCTTAGACATTGTTCTTACTCTTGTTACAGAAAACTTTAGTAAATAATGGAGATGCATTAAAAAAAAAAAAAAGTGGAGAGTAATCAATTGCTGAAGCAACAAGTTTAACCCTAGAAATTATATCTAATTTTGAAAACTGACTGTACATAACTAGGAATAGAATGATGCTAATCTAGCTTTCAGTTCAAATTTATCAGAGTAAACATTGAAGCCCCTTTGTCCGTAGTTGCTCACAGTACTGGTATGGAATCAAGCAATGGGTTTTACAGGACAGGAACCTGATGCCCATAGTTTGAACATGTCTTAACTGCCATTCCAGTGCTTCAAGTCCATGTCTAGAAGGTCTATGACCAAGACTGAATATATTAGAAAATTATCTGTACAGTAATTTAGTTGAGGACAACATAGTCTATGCAGATTAAGTTACTTTTTTTAATTAAATTTTAAATATCCCATATACATGCTTTCCTGGCAAAAGATTTATATCTAAAGGTTCCAGTTCCTGATACAGTGGAACTCCAGTTTTCATACTTAATCCATTGCAGAAGGTCGATCTAATTCTGAAACTTATTATCATATATTTTTTTTTATTATCACACTGGCCGATTCCCACCAAGGCAGGGTGGCCCGAAAAAGAAAAACTTTCACCATCATTCACTCCATCACTGTCTTGCCAGAAGGGTGCTTTACACTACAGTTTTTAAACTGCAACATTAACACCCCTCCTTCAGAGTGCAGGCACTGTACTTCATCTCCAGGACTCAAGTCCGGCCTGCCGGTTTCCCTGAATCCCTTCATAAATGTTACTTTGCTCACACTCCGACGAAAACCAAATTAATAGTATTTCCCATACGAAATAATGTAAATACAATTAATCCGTTCCAGACACCCGAAAATATTAACAAAAAATACATTTTTTAAAGAATAACTATAGTTTTACATACTAAAAACAATGAGAAATAAATATAAATGACTAATTTTAATGATAAAGGAACATTACATATCTTTATAGAAGACACTTGCTGGGGTATTGAAGGAGGAGACGAGGGGAGAGGGAGTCGAGGTTATTGTCTGGAAGGGATATCCCCCTCCATAAAGACTTCAGGTATCAAAGCCCTCTTTTGCAACTTTAGCTTCCTTGATTTTTACTTTCTTTGCCAGCATAGAACAGATTGTTGATTTAGACTTCCCATACATCCTGGCAAGCTTGGCTAAATGTAAGTTACTTTCGTATTTTTCTACAATCTCTTTCTTGAATTCTATCATGTTTCTCACCTTCTTTATCATAAGGCTGGCACTAGGAACTTTCTTTGGACCCATGGTGGCTTATTTCGCAGTCGCAATCAATAAACAAGCACAAAAATTGCGAAATGTGTCGGATGAATGTTCACTCAACCAGTGACAGAGCCAGACTGAGAGACATGCATGAGAGTGGTGGCATCCCAGGCGGGCGGATGTGTTTGATACATACAATTTCCAGAGGGAGGTATGAAATCCGGACCAAAATTTCAGCCCAAAAAAGCGTTCTAAATCCGAGTTGTACGATGTACGGATCGTATGAAAACTGGAGTTCCACTGTATTCTCAAATCACTGTTTACTGTCCTAGGGCTCCATTAATACACAATAATAATAATCAGGGAAAGCACTAAACCTATGTGGGTTATTCAGTCCTACATGGGAAGGATGAGAAAGATGGTAGAGGAAAAGAGGATAGACTGAAAGGAATGACCATTTTAGAAAAAAAAAAAATGCATGGTGGTAAACAAATGGTGTAGAAATTCAATGTCAGTAAAGAAATAGAGAAACGATATAAAAAGATGGTATGGGATGGGAAAGGAGAAAGTGAGCATGTCAGTTTTTAAGAAGAGAATCTCAAGTAATGTGAGTGTGCTCTCTGATGAACAGCACATCTGATTAAAACATGTTGGCCGGACAACTCTGGCAGTGTAGTGCTAGGCAACCAGTGCCACAACAAAGGGTTAGTGGTCTTTTAACCATACTAGTCAAAGTTATCTTTACAAAGCAATATTATTGTGTAAAAATCACCAAATTCACAGATTTCCTAATTAAAGTTTCAGTTACTTAATGTTTTTCACTATTTATTTTATTTTTTTTTTGCTGTGCCATTCGTTGTGCTTGGCACATGGCAGCTAAATTAAAAGCAAGCCACAAGAGTGTACTCAAAATATGCTAAATTGTTTTTCCTCATGATCGTAGCAGATCAGAATTAAATTTAAAGAAGGCGATGTTAGTATTATTCATGACTTTTAGACTCTTGGGATCTCTAGGAATATGGCCTTTGTGGATCATGGTGATTCAACCACACACAAATTTTTCATAGATTTATCTTTCAACTTGAGAAAAAAATTATTTGAAGTAAACAGTTATGAAGTAATTTAATTTGTTATACTTCACTAGTATTTACACTGTGCTATGTGAACCCCTTTACCTTCTTTTCCAAAACACGAACACAAGCACGCGATCTAACTTTCAATCTGAGAAATGCTGAAAACTTATACAGTGCTATATGTTCAAATATTAAACTTCAGTAAGGCTCTTGCATACATCCTCTTCCTTCTTCAAAAGGGAGAAATTAGTTATTTTCACAAAGTACAAAAAATGTTTGAGGAATTAAAATAACTCCAAATAAAACTGTATACCACAAAAAGGATACTATCAACCTTCTTATTTTCAGTAGATTCCATACCAGGCAAAGCTGCGGCCACTCGTCGGAACAGCTGGGAAAAGAAAGGCAATCCTTAATACTGTAATTAGAGGTTAATTTTATGAATTGAAAAATTATAACAAAATACGAAAAAATGGCATTACAAAAAAATCTAATTTTTAATAAATAACTTCTGAGATATTATTGGTGGCAATCATTTATGCAAGGCACTAGCTAATCTTGGGTCTTGGCATGACAAGAAGAGACCCTTAGCATACCATATCAATAACCACAAGCTCAACTCTGCCAGCCTCCTCGACAGAATCTGCCTCCTCGAGCTGGGAAGTCAGCAGTCTACCACTACACCATGGTGTATCCTTAAAAAATATATACTTATAAATAAGTTAAAAATCTTGCTGTGCTGCAAGAGAAGCTATACCCTGTACTTTTTGTCTTCCAAAGATCACTAAATCCACTAGCATATTGAACAACCTTCCTCGAGTATCAATAAAACAGACACTGCACTGCATATTTGTCACTTTCAACACTTGCAAATGTTCTCCTTTCCCTGCCTATTTAATAACCAACCTGAGGACAGTTACCTAATCAAAAGATATTACTTCACCTGCATTAAATCTGGTTTTTCTTTGTACACTTACTCACTCGTGAGAGCATAAGATTACCCGTGTTTATTTGAATGCAGTGAACACTCCTAAGGCAGAGGATACGTTCCTGAAAATTATGTTATGTTATGTAAAATACCATTATTTAAAATTATCATATGAGAAAGTGTAATGGTCTATGTACCTCCAAAAATTATGACTCGCAAAGTGAAGAATTAAGGAATTATGATGCAGCAAAAGACAAGCAAAAGTGAGTTTACAATGAGGGATTAGCAACAGTTATCTGGCACATCACTTGTACCTACCTTAAATACCTATGGTGGGCACAGTAACATTACTATGTTACTGCTTCTCACAGTGTTAAAATGAGTTATGTCCACAGTATAGCATATATATTATTACCATTATAAGAAACAAACACTATGAACCCCCAATGCCTCTAGGTTCACCAATGTCAATATGACTGTTCAATATGACACCACATGGTAAAAGGCCATCAACAATGAAAGAGGCCATTGTGAAGACCTCTCAAAGAGGTACATAAAAAATGTTGAACAATGACCACAACCCTCAACTTCATCATCTGAAAAAAATCATCCGAGGTTGACAAGGATGTCAGATGAAATGGCATAGTGCAAATATGTACAGTATGAAGAAAAGGGCACAAGTGGCAAAACAAATTCAAACTGGAACAAAGTTTTGCTCTGTGTAGATCTATGAGGGCTTTGATAACTTCTACACAGAGAACACTCCCATTGTGGAGAAATTTTCTCCAGGAGGTGGGTATCAGTCCCCTTCAGCCCCTTTCAGCCCTGAGGGGCCCAGCCCTCTCAGAAGGGGCAAATACCTTGTTTACTGCTACAGCAAGTAATTGATCCGAGATGCAATACGAGTATGTGATGTGGCCAAGCGACCGCCGCTTCTTGCAAGAGTCCAGTGTTGTGTTGCAAAGTGTAGCTTAATAAGAGACAGTCCATCTCTTACCTTAGCAGGACAATTAAGGAAAATCCTGCTCCCACTTTATTACCATGGTAAAGATAGTGGACATTGTTGTCTATGCTTAAGACAGCAAGAATTAAGCATTCTGCTTTACTTCATGGAGGAAGTTTGGCAAGGGAGCAAAAAGTAATAGGTCAGCTTTTCCTTTATGTTCTAGGGGCACTGCAGTGGCATAGGATGCTGTGAAGTCAGATTACTTATCACTCTACTGGGAGTCACACTGACGCCAGGATAACCAACAAAGAACACTGATCCGTGCGTTAGTGTGAACAAAGTGTCTCACAAAACACGATAAACACTTACAGAGAAGTGTGATCAGCTTCTTTAGTGATAAGACTGTGAACAATAATGACAAACTTTGTGGAACATAGTGTACCAGTGTGCGTATTCCTAGACTATGGAAGACGTGGACATCCAAGGACACTTCAGCTTCTATCAAGTCACCGATACCTGTCAAGGGTGTAAAGAACACCATAGCTCATGCTACAAGAGCAAGGTGGGTTGCAGATTTCTTGTAGTACGGGGGACTGCACAGTTCTTGTGTCGCAAGGAGTTTGTAATCAACCTATAGTCGGCAGTCAGGTGCAGACTTTTGAGTCCACACAAGTAAGTGTTGTCAGCCATCAGTGTCTGATACATACTGACATAACACCCCTAGGGGTAATTTATAATCATACCTAATATACTTTATTTCAGCCCGTTGAGAAGTGGTCATGACAGCTTCTCAAGACCTCGCCTGCAGGGGCGGCTGCGTGAGCGATAGCTGTCTTATCAGATAATTTTTCCCTATATTTAAACTTTAACCTTAGATGGTAAACCATTTCTCAACACCCATTAGAAAACCAAAAAAAAAAACAATTCTAAATAGTGTATGTTTTCATTTACAGGCAGATGATGATTGATGATGTAAACATAGCCTTCTCCCCATCAAACTGTCAACATATTACCCATGTCCTCACTGAATCACTTGAGCAGGCCAACACTAGGAATTACTGGCAAGATTTGACAGGTTGAATGCTTTTATTATTAATGCTAATTACTTACAACAACCATCTCTCACTAAGGTAGGGTGACCAAAATACGTAATGGAATATGCATTCACCATCATGTATTCAATGTCTTGCCAGAAGAATGCTGGCATCATAGTTTTGACGGTCCTTCCAGCTGCTATATTCTCATTCCTCCTTCAGACTGCAGGTACTATACTTCCCACCTCCAGGATTCAATTCCATCAAACTGGTTTCCCTGTTCACACTCCAAGAGCAGTCTCCACCTGTTCCAATCTAACAAGCTCAAATAAGCTGGATGGATGCTGAAGCCCCTAACACTCAAAGCCTCCTTTACCAAATAGTTAAAACAATATTCTATTGGTTATCTTCTTGTGTTTATGTACCAGATGTAATGCAAGACCTTTTTCATGGTACAGTAGTTACACATTATTGCAAAACATTGCATTATACATCACAATGATTCCTCGAGTTCCAACATTATAAAGTTATGGAGGGAGGGAAGGGTTGCTGAGGTGGTTTAGTCATTAAGAGAGAATGGAGCAAAACAGGATGACTTGGAGGGTATATAAATCTGTAGTGGAAGGAAGGAGGGGTAGGGGTCATCCAAGGAGAGGAGGGAGGGAGGGAGGGGGTAAGAGAGGTTTTGTGTGAAAGGAGCTTGAACATACAGCAGACATGCACGAATGTGTTAATTAGGAGTGGAGACTAAGCGTTTTTGGGGTTTGACAAGCTGTTGGAGTGTGAGCAGGGTAATAATTTCTTAAGGGATTCAAGGAAACCAGTTAGTTTGACTCAAGAGTCCTGGAGGGGTTTGGCATATTTGCTGTTTGGAATGACATCTGAACTACTGTATCTGTGTGCCTCTGCAAAGACAGTGACTGTGTGTGAATGGTGGTGAAAATGTTGAATGATGGTAAAAGTGTTTCTTTCTATTTTGGGTCACCCTGCCTCAATGGGAGACAGCCAATGTGTTGAAAAAAATTATTAAAGTAATTTTGAGTTATAATTTACCCTCCCGACAAAATTTAGTTCTGACATACAATGAAAAATATTTGAGATACATACGATACGCATACGACGGTTGACACATGTGAGTGGCCTCAGACCAGAGACAAGGAAGTGTGATGAAAAGGTCTTAAATACAATGATGATAGTGGGTGTGGAGGAGGGAGAGAGGGTACAAAGGATGGAAGAAGGGAGAGTATAAAGGACAGAGGGAGGGAGGGGGGTAGGGAAGGAGGGAGATTATACATGTTCCAGACGTGGGGAGGAGGATGAAAGTATGATGAGAGTAATTAAATCTACAATGCTTTACTAATCTGCCTGCTCTACCTTGCTGTGTATGCCTCAACCTGCCCTGCCTGTTGTGTTCTGCCTGCCTAGTGGGTTATACTAAATGTTTATGTACCTAGGTGGGTAAGGGGGGGGGAGAGAAAGAGAGAGAGAGAGAGAGAGAGAGAGAGAGAGAGAGAGAGAGAGAAGAGGGAAAAGAGAAAAAAGAGAAAAGAGAGAAAGAGAGAAAAGAGAAAGAAAGAGAGAAAAAGAGAGAAGGAGAGAGAAAAGAGAGAAAGAGAGAAGGAGAGAAGGAGAGAAGGAGAGGAGGAGAGAAGGAGAAGAAAGAAAGAGAAAAGAGAGAAAGAGAGAGGAGAGAGAGAAAGAGAAAGAGAGAAGAGAAAAGAGAGAAGAGAAAGAGAGAAAGAGAGAAAGAGAGAAAGCGAGAAGAATGAGAGGAGAGAAGGAGAGGAGAGAAGGGAGGAGGAGAGAGAGGAGAGAAGGAGAGAAGAGAAAGAGAAGAAGAGAGAAGGAGAGAAGGAGAGAAGGAGAGAAGGAGAGAGAGAGAAAAGAAAGAGAGAAAGAGAGAAAGAAAGAGAAAGAGAGAAGGAGAGGAAAGAGAGAAGAGAGAGAAGGAAGAAGGGAGAGAAGGAGAGAGGAGAGAAGAGAGAAGGAGAGAAAGAGAGAGAAGGAGAGAAGAGAGAAAGGAGAGAGGAGAGAAGAGAGAAGAGAGAAAGAAAGAGGAGAAAGAGAGAGAAGAGAGAGAAAGAAGAAAGAGAGAAGGAGAGAAGGAGAGAAGAGAGAGAAGGAGAGAAGGAGAGAGGAGAAAAGGAGAGAAGGAGGAGAAAGAGAAGAGAGAAAGAGAAGAGAGAAAGAGAGAAGGAAGAGAAGAGAGCGAGAGAAAGAGGAGAAAAGAGAGAAAGAAGGGGGGAAAGGAGAAGGAGAAAGGGGAGAAGAAGGAGAAAGAGAGAAGAGAGAAAGAGAGAAGAAAGAAAAGAAAAGGAGAGAAAAGAAGAGAAAGAGAGAAAGAGAGAAGGGGAAAGAGAGAAAGAGAGGGGGAAAAAAGAGAGAAAGAGAGAAAGAGAGAAGGAGAGAGAAAGAGAAAAAGAGAAAGAGAAAGAGAGAAAGAGAGAGAGAAGAGAAAAGAGAGAAAGAGAGGAGAGAAGAGA